TCACCCAAATCACAATAAAAAACCAAACAGTGTCTTGAAAGAACTTTATAAACTATACTACTCTATACGAATGTGAAGTATTACCACTGAAGAGGCAGGTCATCTTACTCAGAATTGAGTAAGAGTAACATCAACTCCAAGTTAACACTGGCTCCTGTCTCTGCCAGGAGCACCAAGGTGTAGGAGGGTCTGGGGTCTGTCTAGCAGTGTGATGTGGGCTACTTCAGAACCATCTCCCTGGAGCTAAAGGTCCCCTCTCAAGCTCTCTTCTCCCTGCTGAGCAAGCTGGCCATCTGTGCCTCAGTAGTGCAGCTGGCCACGCCCAGCAGCTGCCAATGAAGGCATTCTTCCAGAAGCTTTTAGATACATCCATCCCAATACTGTGCCCACCTTCCTTGGATGCATGGGACATCTTCCTGGGGATCCCAATTTTCCACTACACATGAGGTATGTTGTGGTATATCAGGACCTGGGTATACTGTGGCTTGGCTGGGCATCTGTGGTCACCACAGGGCCAGCCCCTTGACTATGCTGACACTAATGAGTGACTTTGTATTGAACCCCAAAATCCCACTGCCACTCGATTCTGATTCTTAGCAACCCTGTAGGATAGAGGAAAACTGACCCACAGGGTTTTGAAGGCTGTCAGTATTTACAGAAGTGGACTGCCCTGTCTTTCTCCTGCAGAGTGGCTGGTGTGTCTGAACTTCCAACCTTCTGGTTAGTAGCTGAATGCCTTAGCCACTGTGCCACCAAACCTCCTGACTCCACTAGAGCTACTGGCATGAGCTAAGTGCAGGAAATCCACTTTTTCTCAAAAATTCACCATCCAAGATCATCTATACTACTGAGACAGGATAATGTTCACAGGTAATAGTAAGAAAAACACCAGCGTTCAGAACCATCACTGAATTCTGGTTTTTCTTTTTTATTCCACACATAATGGTTTACAGAGGAAACCACCCATCACAAGCATGTCAGGAGCCTGTCCAAGGACACCACAGTGGGTGTACCTTCTTTTAATTATCAGATAAGACAGAGTCCCTTTGTCACGGTTTTCCCATCCATCAAGGCAGCAGGGTGATGGAGAGCCCTGAATGGCCCTCGGCTCTCATCTTGTCTCCTAGGATGCCCCTTCTTTCTTGAGGACTGGCTTTAATGAAAGAGGGGATCCCAGCATGTGAACAGTCTGAACAGGGCATTAGGCTAGTGTCAGTCACCTGCAGGCATATCTGAGGTCACCTGGGGAAGGGACAGGTGGTGACTGACCATGCTGAGGCGGCAATGGGAGTGGCAGCTGGGCATCAACCACATCAATTTGGAGATTTGTTCGCCAGGGGGCACAGCCTGCTGGGTGAGGGCTGCCCAGCACACAGTAGTTCTGCCACATCCATTGCATTGACACTATCGATGTCACCCAGCTCTGGGTCCCCCGTGCCCAGCAGACTGTCTGGCACGTAGTAGGTCCTCAGCCAGTGCTGGCTGAACTGGACAGCAAAGGGCTTCTCGGGGCTGTGCCGTCTCCGGTGCTCCGTGAGGTGGGCACTCCAGCTGAACATTTCCCCACACTCGTCACACTTCCACAACTTCTCCCCGGAGTGGACCTTCTGGTGTTTGACCAGACAGTGGTTCTGGCTGAAGGCCTTGCCGCACTCAGTGCACTTGTAGGGCTTCTCGCCCGTGTGGATGCGCTGGTGCACAATGAGAGAGGAATGGCAGCTAAAGGCCTTCCAGCACCTGCTGCAGTCGAAAGGCTTCTCCCCGGTGTGGACCCGCTGGTGCACGATGAGGTAGGAGTGGGAGCTGAAGGCCTTGCCGCACTCGTTGCACTTGAAGGGCTTCTCCCCGCTGTGGACCCGCTGGTGCACGATCAGGTAGGAGTGGCAGCTGAAGCCTTTCCCGCAGTCGCCACACTTGAACGGCTTCTCGCCGGTGTGGATCCGCTGGTGCAGGGTGAGGCGAGAACGGCTGTTAAAGGCCTTCTCACACTCGCTGCACTTAAAAGGCTTCTCTCCATTGTGGATGGTTTCGTGCACGGTAAGGGACGAGTGGCACGTGAAGGCTTTCCCACACGCGCCGCACTTGTAGGGCTTTTCGCCCGTGTGGATCCTCTGGTGCCGCGTGAGGTGCGTCCGCTGGTTGAAGGCCTTGCCGCACTCGGTGCACTGGTAGGGCTTCTCGCCCGTGTGCACACGCACGTGCATGTTGAGCAGCGAGCTGCAGCTGAAGGCCTTCTCGCAGGCGCTGCACTTGTAGGGCCGCTCGCCAGTGTGGATACGCTGGTGCACGTTGAGCGAAGAGTGGCAGCTGAAAGCCTTGCCACACTCGCTGCAGAAGAAGGGCTTCTCGCCGGTGTGGATGCGCTGGTGTTCGATGAGGTTGGTGCTCCATGTGAAGGCTTTGCCGCACTCGCGGCACTTGTAAGCCTTCTCGCGGGTGTGCCAGCGCCTGTGCAGAGCCAGGGAGGAGCTCTGCCCGAAAACTTTCCCGCACTCGCCACAAGCAAAAATAGCCTCTGCAGGGCCAGTGACCTGTGGCCCGCCCACCCGCGAGTACTTCCGGGGCTCGGCGGACCGGAAAGAGTTTCTGCCCGCACAGGTCCTCTGGGGCGGGACGATGGCCTCGCTGGGCCGGAAATGCGTCACGGACCTGTCACAGGAGCCCACCTGTGCAGGACTGCTTGTTTGAAGGAGGGCGGCTGGCCTGAAGGGAGAGTCTCCCTGGGCCTCGCCAAGTCCCTGAGTGTTCTCCTGCTCTGTTGACGCGACCTCGCGGGGGATGGGCATCAACTTCCGGGACACGCGCTTACTTCCGGTCAGAGCGTCGGCCTGTTCTTCCCAGCCGCACGCGTCGCCCGGGTGGGAGCTGTGAAGGCTGGGCCACGTCAGGTTTTCCGTTGCCGCCTCCTGGACAGGCTCTTCCTTGTACTCGCGCTCCTCCTCCATCACTGACGTGGGCTCCCGCTCTGGAAGAGATGGGATACATGGTTTCTGTCAGCAGATGTTAACTACGGGCCTGGGATTCGGCCCTGAGATCCGGCTAGAGATGGAGAAACGAAGCGTAGAAGAGCTTGAAGGGGTGAAGGCGGGGAGTCGACAAACATCCACACCAAGGATGGAACGCGTGAGCCAGCCGTCTAGGGCTGTAAGAGGAGGTGGACGGGGAGGGGGCCACCGGAGGGTGCAAAGCGGGAGCGTCAGGAAGGGGCGAGACAGAGGCCCAGCGGGGTGGGGGGTGGAGGACTTTGAGACATGATTAATCACAGAAATATCGAATGACCGACGTATGATACCATGCTGAGCACTGGGTAGCTGCCCTCTAAGGGCACATAACAAGGCCAAAGAAAATTACACTGAAAAATTTCCCAGGTGTCCCAGGTATCAGAAAGGGACAGAGAACTCCCCACCCTTCCTCTTTAGCATTTCCTTTCCTTTTTATTTCTTAGCATTTTCTTTCGAAAACTTGAAATTGAGCGCCTTCTCCATCTTTGAGATGTAAATCTGTTTAAAAGTTATCAACATGTGGTGGTGGTGGTGGTGGTGGTGATGTGTTGTCGAGTTGGACCAGACTCATAGCGACCCATCCTTGGGTTTCCGAGGCAGTATCACTATGGAAGTAGATTGCCCCCATCTTCTTTCCCAGGCAGATGTACAAAATGGACTATTACTAACACCCAGAGAAATGAAGTCCTGATGCACGCTAGAACACGGGCCAGCCTGGAAAGCAGCCTACAGAGTGAAGGACGTCGGTCACAAAACGGCAGATACCGTGGGAGCTCACTCAGAGAGAACATCTAGAACAGGCAGATGGGTAGAGAGGAAGGTTTCTTAGTGGTCACTGGGGCGGCCGCAAAGGGGGAAGGGGAGTCACTGTTTAGGAAGTGTGGATTTGGCAACAGATAGTGGGGATGGTAGCGTGACAGGATAAGTGTAACTCATGTCACTAGATAGTACACGTGAATTGGCACATGTGGCAAATATCACATAAAACTAAATCAAACTCACTGCTGTCCAGTCAGTTCTGGCTCATAGCAACCTCTCCTTGGGTTTCCAAGGCAGTATCTCTACCTAAGTAGATTGCCCAGTCTTCCTTCTTAGGAGTGGCTGATGAGTTTGAACCACCAGCCTTCTGGTTAGCAGTCAAATGCCTTAGGCACTATGCCTACAGACACACCCATCCGTATATATTATGTATATGCGTACTATACACACACATACACACACATATATACATATGTGGGAGCTCTGGTGGCATAATGCCTAAGGCATTTGACTGCTAACCAGAAGGCTGGCGGTTCAAATCCACCAGCCACTGCTTGGAAGGAAGACAAGGCAATCTACTTCCATAGTGATACCACCTCAGAAACCCAAGGAGGGGTTGCTATGAGTCTGATCTGACTCCATGGCAGTGCGTTTGTTTTTTTTTTTTTTTTAAATACATATGTATACTATATATGTGTGTGTGTGTATACATGTGTGTGTATATATATATATATATACACACACACACACACATACACACACATACATATACACATACACACATATATGAAGGAGCTCTGCTGGTATAGTGGTTAAGACATTTGGCTGTTAACCAAAAGCTTGGCAGTTCAAACCCACCAGGCACTCCACAGAAGAAAGATAGGACAGTCTGCTTCCATAAAGATTTACAGCCTTGGCTACCACTGTCATCCACTTGAAAGGGGATCTATGTAGGAGATCCTTGATGGAGAGGGAGAACAATGTGGAACAAAACTCAAAATCATTTGGGGAAAAAAAAAAAGAAAAAGGGGGGGACCAGGTTTGCTGGTCCGATAGAGCCTGGTGGAACCACTGAGACTGTGGCCCCTAGCTGCCCTTCAGATCTGGAATTGAACCCACACCTGTGGTTCCAGCCAAACAAAAGACAGGCATATGAGTTAAACATTTACCTCAAGTAGATACACTCCTTGGAGAGAACAATCATGGGAGAAAGAAGGGCTGCTTAACTACAGGGAGACAGCTCAGGGGGCAGGAGTGCATGGAGGGATGGATACAGGGAAGAGGTAACTATGGGGAGGAAGTGGGAGGGGAGCTGTTGCATAGTGGTAAATTGTGGTCAATGTCATGAGACAAAGTATATGTGAACCACTGTATGGAAAGTAAATTTGCTCTGTAAACCTTCACCCAAATCACAATTAAAAAAAAAAAAAGTTTATTTTAAAATTAAAAATTAATTAAATTTTTTTAATTCCCGGAAAGAAAAAAAAAAAAATTTACAGCCTTGGAAACCTAATGGGGGTCGCTATGAGTCAGAATTGATTCGATGGTAGTGAGTTTGGTTTGTTTTATACACCACACACACACATATATATCTGTACACACATACGTATATATATGCACATATGTACATATCTATACATACACATACCTTATACATACATATATATACACATATAGGTACACGTACACACACATACATATATAAACATGCATATACAGATAAACATACGTATATCCATACATACATTCAATCTTTACAACCACCACAAAACGTTAAATGAGCCTGTTGCATTTTGCATCACAACACCTGTCCTGGTGGCCCTGGAGCCACCTCAGAAACCTGAGCATGCGGGAGGTGGGTGACACCCTGCTGGATGGCAAGATTAGAGGCTTTTAGGTTTCCACCTGGATGAAGACAGTCAGTGGGGATGGGATGGGTTCTGTCTGCTTGGCTGTGTGTGAAGGGGGGGTGCTAACGGGAACGTTCACTTGGCTGCTAACTGGAAGGCCGGAGCTTTAGAGTCCGCCCAGAGGTACCTCAGAGTCAAGCCCTGGCCACTGACTTCCAAAAACTCACCCACTGAGAACTACAGAGCGCGGTTCTACTCAGACACAAACGGGCTGCCAGGAGTCAGAGCTGACTTGTTGGCAACTGGTTTAGGTTTGATGGAGAAGGCTTGCTTTAATGCTGATTCACAACGAAATGCTTTTCTTTGTCTTCTGCCTTTGCAGAGGGGTTTTCTGGGTTGGCTGGAGACTAGGTTTAAGGATACCTTCCCCCCACCCTCTGGAGTGCAGGCCAGGGGTGGAGGTGACAGGCCCTCTAGGAGCGAAGCCTTGGGGGCAGGGAGTACACCCTCTGGAAGTGTGGTCTAACACGGGGGTGGGCAGTGGGGCCGCAGGAGCGCCGTCGAGGATGTGGCAGCAGGACACAGGCGTATCTGCAGGAGCACAAAACACTGCTGTCAACTGCAGGAGGCTGGGGCCTGGGAAGCTTGGGAAGGAAGGTTGCAGAAGAGTGAGCGGAAGCAGCCAAGACCCTCAGCGTGCAACAGCGCAGACAAGGAGTGTGGGGAGCCAGGGGGCAGGGAAGGCAGGCATCCGTCCACAGAGGGCCAGCGTGCTCATCACCCGACGATTGCTCTCGCTGCTGTAGGGGGAAGGGGCTGCACAAGTGGTTGTCTGTCTTTCCGGAAACCTAACACACTGTGGTTCTTGAGTGGTGCAAACAGTGAATGTGCTCAGCTGCTAAACACAAGGTCGAAGGTTTGCATCCACCCAGAGGCACCTTGGAAGAAAGGCCCGGCAAATGAGTTCCAAAACCTCAGCCACTATAGTTGCTTCTCTTCCTGTCACTGAAGTCTTACTGCTTTGTATGAAAACTCAACCACTGAAAACCCTGCAGGGTGGGGTTCTGGAACACACAAGGGTCACTATGACTTGGAGCCGACTCAACTGGTGGTTAATATACTCAGCATCACTATTTACTAAGTCAAGTTGAAATTCATCCGTTCAGTTATTATCATTCACTTATGCAGCAGACAAGTCTATAAAAAAAAGTCAGAAGAAGGAAACCTGAGGCCATGGCCATCTTCTGCTCAGAGCCTGACCACGTGGCCCTCGGTGACCCAGGCCCAGCTCTCATCTGGCTAGGCACGTCTCCAACATATCTGTCCCCTTCTCAGAGCCATTCCCTGACCACTAGGCTTAAAACTGCAGTTCCACATGCTCCCTACCCACACTCTGCTTTACTTTTCTTGGCACAGACTGACAAGCCTATTTGTTAGTTAGGTGCTTTATCTCTGTCACCCACCACTAGAGGGCAGACAGAGATAACACCTAAAGCCAGTTTTGTTCACTGCTGTATTCCTGGCACAGTACCTTGCCCAGAAGGTGGTGCTGGGCACGTGTGTCGAGAAAAGAAGGGAAAGGTTTAGAAGGGGACTTGAGGAAGCATGCATGGAGCCAGCGCAGGGGGACCGGGGAGAGGACCTGGGACGCAGAGGCAGGCGAAGAGAGGCCGTCGGGCACCCCTGGTGCTCACTGCTCACCTGGAAGGGCAGCTGCATGGGCTCCTCTCAGCACACGCCATGGGGCCGCGCCTCGCTCCAGGTAGGAGATCATGTCTGGCTTGCAGACTGGAGGTCCTGCTCACGGGGAAAAAGCCAGTGGCTATTTGAGCTGCTGCTTTATGGGGCCCTGGACCTAAGCCACCATGTTGAGAAGCAACAAGACATTACAGGAGGGTCCCGTGGGCAGCCACAGTGCCACTTCCAGCACTGTGCTGTGACACCAGCTCCCTGGGACCCACAGTGGTGAGGACCACCATTTATTGAAGCTGCCCTGCACCTTACCTGGGTGCTCCAAGGGAGGCTAGGCTCCAAGTCCTGTCTGTCTTGTCACCCTCCCAGCAGGAGGCCTCTTTAATGTGCTCCCACCCCCTGGGCCCAATGCGGCCGCAGTGCTTCTCACAGCACCCCCTCCCAAGCCAGGGCACACACTGCTGCCAAACTGCCAAGAAAGTTCTAATATATGTCCACCCCCATGGCCACAAAAGCCTACACCTGCCACATTTTGTGGTGCCCGACATGGGGCAACACCAAGGAATTGCTCAGTAACATACCCCATGGGGGACATCAAGCTCAACTGGCATACTACACAAAAACATTGTTCTACATCCTACTTTGGTGAGTAGCTACTGGGGTCTGAAAAGCTGGGAAGTGGCCACCTAAGATGCAACAATGAGTCTCTCCTCGTCCAAAGCAAAGAAAAATGAAGAAAACCAAAGATGCATGGGTACACTTAGTCCAGGGAACAAGCAGACCATGCAGACATCAGCCTATATGACCATGAGACCAGAAGAACTAGATGGTGCCCAGCCACCACTGTCAACCACTTGGAAAGGGATCAGCACAGGAGATCCTGGATAGAGTGGAAGAACAACATGGAACAAAACTCAACTTTGTAATAAAGACCAGCCTTGCTGGTCTGATAAAGACTGGTGAAATCCCCGAGACTATGGCCCTTAGTCACTCTTCTGGCCTGGAATTGAACTTCCTCTGTGGCTTCCAGCCAAACAGTAGACAGATATATAAGGTGAACATTTACACCAGGTAGATACACTCCTTAGAATGATCAATCGTGGGAGAACCGAAGGGCAAGATTCGCACAGGGAGATGGCTCAGGCGGCAGGAATGCATAGGAAAGAAGGACACAAGGAAGAGGTAACCACAGGGAGGAAGTGGGAAGAGAGCTGTCATGTTATGGGGATTGCAATCAATGTCATGAAACAAAATGTGTATGAAGTGTTGTATGGAAAATGAATTTGCTCTGTAAACTTTGACCCAAATCACAATAATTAAAAAAAAGAAAAAGAAAATACCCCATGGAAGAATGCACAAGAGCTGGCTCTGAGCCCGGGAGGCCATCTTACCGAGGGCGAGAAGGTTCTGGTAATTCTCCAGCATCACATCCCAGTACAGGGCCCTCTGAGGGGAGTCTAGCTGGCCCCACTCCTCCTGGGTGAAGTCCACAGCCACATCCTTGAATGTAACCAACTCCTGAAATGACACATGATTGCTCATCTCAGAACCATCCCCTGCACGGCCCTGGGTCTTACCCTTGTATGACCACAGGGCAGTTTGGGGGAATCAGAAGGTCCACGGGAATGACACACATACTTGCTAAGGATGGAAGGGTTAACCTCAGTGACCTCCGCTGGTCACCGTTTCCATGTAGTGTATCAAGTTGAGATGTGATAGGAGGTTGTGTTCTAGCCACTGTCTGCAGCAAAGCTCTGACCTCCTAATCCTATCTAGATCCAAGGGCAGGGAAATGGTGAGTGTCAAAATAAAATACAACAGTATTAATTACAGCCCACTGGATAAACCCATGGGTCACACTGATAGAAATAAATGGGGAGGAAAGAAAGCTCTTCCCTCAAGCGAGTGCAGTTACTGGGGAAGAAATGGAGGGAGCCAGGATTGGCATCTGGCAGCCACTGAGGAAACTACTAAGACTTTAAAAAAAAAAACAAAAAAACACTGCTGATGAGTGGATTCTGACTCAGAGCGCCACTAGAGGACAGAGTGGAACTGCCGCAGAGGGTTTCCCAGGCTGCGATCTTTATGGAGGCCGACAGCCTCATCTTTCTCCCTCAGTGGCTTGTGTGTTCCAACTGCTGACCTAATGGTCAGCAGTTAACTGCTTTAACCACTGCACCACTAGAGCTCCTACTGCTAAGATGGGGTGTGAAAATGGCGGGTGAAGAGGGATGAGTCTAGGACAGTCACACAGTCTCATGAGTAGCGCTATGCAAGACGCTTGTCAAGTCTTCTGGGGAAAAAAAGTACAGAAACTGAATGTCTGCCATTTTGTGCAGACAAGAGCTAACCGGCAGGCTGGAGATGGCCTCCTTAGAAGGCCCACCTGCAAGGTCAGCCCTGGGCTGACATCCAGGAACATGTTTTCGGTAGGGCTCCCACCATTTCTGTGTTGAAAATGTGTGAACAAATAAGGTGCTGAACGCCTGCCTTCCATCTGGGAGTCTGGAATTTCATTACATGCCAGGCAGAGGGTGCCTATGTGCCCAGCCTCCAGTTAAAAGCCTGGGGCAGAGTCTCCACCCAACCTGCCTGGCAGACAACACTTCACACATCAGCACAACTTGCTGCTGGAGGAACTGTGTGTGTCCGGTGCAGCTTCGTGGGGAGAGGGCTCTGGAAGCTTGTTCCTGGTTTCCACTGGGCTTCACCTCAAGCACCTTTACCTTATACCAGTTTTGCTTCGTGTCCTTCCACCACTGTGAACTCTAGCCCCAAGAACGATTTTATGCTGTCCTGTGAGTTCTCCTGCAAAGCAGTGAACCAGTGGGTGGTATGATCTAATTAAGTGATCCATGTCCATACCACCAGTAATGGGATAAGTCAGCAACCATGTGTTGCTGACAGGACGCAATGAGAAGATGCTATATTGCGAGCCACGTCATTAGCTGCCATTGAATCAGCTCCGATTTATGGCAACCTTCCGTATAACAGAGAAACACTGCCCAATCTTGTGCCACCTTCAGGATCACTGCATGGCTGAGCCCACTGTTGCACTGTGTTGGAGCTCACCTTCCAACACAGTATTGGGCAGAATTCTTGTGCTCCATATATTGTTGTTGTTATGTGCCATCGAGTCAGACCTGACTCATAGTGACCTAATTTTCTATCACCAGGCTTTTCTTCCTCGTCTTAGTCTGGAAACTTCACTGAAACCTGTCTGCTATGAGTGACTTTGCTGATATGTGAAATACTGGGGGCAGTGTCCAACATCACACCCATCACCGCAGTATGACACATATGGCAGGTGGTCAGTTGAGAGCCTGGGTATGATCATGAGTGAACCACAAAACTAACCTAGTTGAGGGACACTCTATAAAATGACACTCTGTAACCTGTCCAGACTGAGAGACTGTCCCTGGTGGAAACAGATTGAAGACTCAACCATGGGTTTGGATGAAGAGTTTATGCATATATGAGAGCTCCTTGTACTATTCTTTCAAATTCCCTAAGTTTAAAATTCCTGCCAAATGGAATTACTTACGAAAACATAAAGGACAATTGTTAAGTTACTGTTATAATGGAAACCATGATGACACTATAAGGAAACCTTATACTTATCAGCAAGTTGTGTCCCTGAGGAACCGAGAGAGCCACTCACTGTCCTCAGCTGAATCCTTGCCCGCTCAGGACCTCCTTGCCCCACCCTCTGTTCTCGCAGAGCTTCTGTGTCCTGGCAGCTCTCCCCTGACACCAGTCACCCACTGGAGGGTCACCACTCCCACCCACTTGGTCATTCCAGTCCCCAGTGTCAGGAAGGTTCTAAACGACTCACACCTGTTCCCCATACTCTTGCTTTCCCATAGTTCTGGGCTCTCCACCTTCTCCAGGTGCTCTGAGCTCCCCCCTTAGCACCAGTGGCCACCCCATGTGGTCTCCAGCCTCTTCGTGCTCCATCCCACCTCTGCTTCCTCAGAGGCCTCGTCAGACCTCCACCTGTTCTTCAGAAGCCAATGAAGAGGGCTGGTGGGCACTGACAGGAGTAAGGAAGACCCCCATGGAGGGTCTGAGGAGAAACAGGGATGCCACCACACAGGTTGCAAGAGTATGCAAGTTCGTTCTTAAGCTGTTGCTGACCAGCTGTTCTCTCTTTGGACACACGGGCCACAGGAACCTGACCTAAACTGTGGAGAGAGCGTTAGGTAGACAGAGAACTGAGACTCAATACACCAAGTGAAGAGACTTTACTTCACACTTCGTAAACATTTGCTGAGGAGTGACCAAACGGTGACGGAGGTGTGGGGCCATGCGCCAAGGGGCCATGGCAGCACAGGCAGGTGACGCAGGGCACCCATGAGGAGACTTAAGGTCTGCGATAAGACCTTGTTACCTGCCAGGTGCCTAACCGATGGGCAGGAACAGCAGGGCCACCCCTCTGGAGCTACAGAACATTAGGTTTTGCTATCAGTTCTAAAGGTGGATTCGAACCAGCCCTGTGAGATCCAAAGGGCATCATCAT